CCCAAGCAAATTGCTTCTTCACTCGGGACTTTCCGTAGCTGTTGAGGTCAGTGCCGCCCAAGCTGATCACTCAATGTATGCATAAGTGGCCATGCTGTGTCGTACAAGATCATGGTTGAGGTGAAGAGGATTTACAATCTTTAAATTTTTCAGGACTATTTCAGGTCCGTCTCACAGAGGGCCTTCCTTGTGCAGACTGATGAGGTGTTCAAATACTGCACTGGCACAACTATGTTTTTATTCCTGTTCTGTAACCATTTCTGAGGTTTAAATGCGGGTCCACAAAAAAAAAAAAAGAAAGATAAAAATCAAGAGCCAGCGTGCGCTATAAAAGCACTATGGGTTATTTTTTTGGTCTTCTGTCATTATTTAAACCAGGAGGGGGCTTTTTTGGCGTATGGAAACTTTTCAAGAAACCAGTCACATGGACATGGTGAATAGCATCATTGATATGTCCAATAGGTTTCTGTTTGTAATTATGTTGGTTTGTTGTATCTTCCAGTGTTCTGTACAAAGGAGAAAGTTACGAATTCCAGGACAAGTCAGTCCTCACGTTGGTCCTGCTCTGCCTCAGCACGACTGTCCTTGTTCTCCGAGCCCACTGGCTTTATCCGGTCTTCAAAGGTTTCGTCTACTCCCAGCGTCACATCGTCATCAGAAACCTTGAACAAGTACGTCTCGTACGCCTCAGGGCTCTGTCCGCTTGGTTCATGGGTCACTTTGCTGAAGCACAAACAGTAATTGAGAATATGTTTTTACGGTGAAATGGTGCGTATGAGTTAGCTGTAGAGAAATGACAGCCGGTGACCGGTGGATGCTCTGATGTGATTTGCTCCTTCTTTCACATCAAACACCTATTGTCCTTATCTCTCCTCCTCCTTTTCTTTGTGTGTCGCTCTCTAGAAACACCTCATATCCTCAGTATTTATATTAATACCTAAATGTGATTCAAGTGTCTTAAAACCTCAATAAAACTAAAAACTAGAGAAATTACCCAAGGGTGGTCTGACCATCATCTGTGATTTACCATCATAGTAAGATGCTTCACATTGCTCTCAAAAGGCATGAGTTCGATTCCCCAATGGGGTAAATACAGCAAAGTCCACTTAAGCCGAAATCAGCGACACCTGTCTGATTTTCTTCAGTTTTGCTGGGTTGCTCGGTTTTGAAAAGCTGCTCAGATAGAAGAAACAAAATCAAGTATTTTATTTGTTTTAGGTTTACTGCTGTTTTTGGGTTAAACGTGTTTGGTTTAAGCAGACTTTACTGTATTTTAAGTAGCTCCATTTATCTTCTTGGATGTAGTAAAGTAGTATCCAATTCTGCTCCAGTTGACCCTGATAGGCAGTGTGGAAATGGAAACAGCTTACACAATTAAAGGGTCTTATTTGTGCAAAT